CTGCCAGAAGAAGACCCAACCAAATAAACAAAACAAAAAAAAACAATTACAATTACAACAAACAAAATATTTAAATTGTTGATTCAAACAATCTTCTAATATTATAAAAGAGATAATGCTTGAAATGAAATAGCAATATATACAAGAGGGTATCGGGAAAGCAAAAGTAGTAAAGTATTATACAGGTTAGCGATCGTGTGAAGGTTAAAAGAGAGGCATGGGCCTTATCTTTTTTTGGCAGCAGCAGCTTTGATAACCAAGACATCACCATCTTCAATGGGTTGGTTTTTACCGTATCGGTAGAGCTTTCCCTTACTTTTGAGCGAGGCTTCATTCAACGGGGCCTGTTCGTGGACCAAGTCTTGGTACTTGTAGGCTTGGGCACTGATGAAGGTATCTTTCAAGTCATTGTGAATGACTTGAGCAGCATCGGGAGCAAGACTGTTTTCTCTGACTGTCCATTGATGGGCTTCTTTTGGACCACAGGTGTAGAAGGAGATGAGTCTGAGGGCTTTTCTCATGGTGTTGATGATGAGGTTGTTGGCGCTTTTATCCAGAGCCAAGTTTTCTTCAATGATTTTAGACTCGTATTCGGCCAGAAACATTAGTAAATGGTCTTGGGGACAGTTTTCGTTAATCCATTCTTGGACAGCCAGATGGAACTCGTTGGTTTGGTTGAGGAAGTCTGCCTCGCTGACATTCAATAAGTAGACGGTTGGTTTTGCAGTGATGAAGTTGTACTTGTTAATAATTTCAACCTCGTTGGAAGACCAGTCTCCAACACTGATTTTCTTACCTTCGTATAAGAAATCCTGAACTTTATTCAATACTTGAGAAACGTCATCGCTGAAGCCTGGTTTATAAGAGTGTTTGCCGCTTTTTTCAAGAGCAGACTCTACGAATTCGATATCTTTTAATATCAATTCGTCGTTAACAATCACTAAGTCTCTCACCGGGTCAATTTCACCTTCCTCTATATGAACAATGTCGTCATTTTTAAATCCTCTCACAACATGGAATATCCCATCAACCATTCTGATATCGGCTAAAAACTTATTCCCTAACCCGGCTCCACTTGCAGCGTTTCTAGTTAAGCCTGCAATATCATAGATTGTTAAACTGCTAGGTATCTTTTTCTTCAGCCCGTATAATTCGGCTAGTTTCTCTAATTCCGGAGACTCGGCAGTAACCAAGGACTTGCTAGGATCAATTGTAGCAAATGGATAATTGGCTGCTATACCTAAATTAGTCTTGGTAATACTTTGGAAAAAAGTACTTTTACCGACATTGGCTAATCCAACTACTCCCAGACTTAAATTGTTACTGGGGCGTCCCAAAATTGGCTTAGCGGTCTCCTGTTTCACCGCCTTCGCTAATAGTCTTCCACTCGTGGCTAGACCTCTATTCAATACTTTATTCATGTTAATGAAGAATCTTAAAGATTTTTCAGTCTTCGTAAGACTTTTCATTTTTTTTTTTTTTTTGGTTAAAAGCCTACGCACGTGATGGGATTTTGCATCAATTCATTCTTATATTTATATACACTTATATATGCCTCTATACTAGAAGATGACTTTAGGAAAGGATTCGGGTGTCGAAGAGGCTCGGGTGCTGTTGTCGTTTGATAGCGTGGTTAGGGAGTGGTTTCGTTTAGGGTAGAAGTCAGATCTGATATATCCATTTTTCGTTTGTTTGATTACAGGATCAACTTCTTTCGCTGAACAAATCCACTTATTAAGGACTAGTTTATTCATATACTGGCTGACTTTGTTCAGAAGCTTCTTCAAGAGACCGACGGGTTGAATCATTGCTGACAAAGAGAGTTGATTCGAAGTCAACATGTTTGTGGATGCAAAAAAAAGTGATTTTTGTATCAAGATAAATCTTTCGATTTCTTCAACTTTTGTAACGTCTGTTTGATCAATTAGAAGAAAAGTTCAGAAACAAATGACATTATGGATTCTTGGGGAGTTGTTTGTAGATTATGTTCTAACTTTGTTGGATTTTTGCAAAAAAATACAAAAACTATCTTTTTTTGACAATTATTTGCAAAAGCTTTACCTACTTTCTTACTGAAAGTTCAGCATCTTCTTAGGTTCTATCGGGTTATGTGGGTAGATCAGACCCATATTCAACCACCAGTATCCATTAGTATTTAGATACATGGTTCTAGTACGGTTGACCATAACACACGCATAAATGGTATTAGTTAAATACATACTAATACTAGGTAGCACAGTGGATTAATTAGATACTGACAGATTAATCTTTTCACGTTATTCAAAGGGAGGAAATAACTTATTACAATTAAGCTTAGGTAACCAAAACCAAATCATGAATATTATATAGAAATATTTATTACCGAATATAAAGAACTCTCCATAGGTCGACGACCATGCTTCAACCAAATAGAAGCATCACCTGGTCCACGGCCCACACCGAGTAGAAGATTTTTCCATTTAATATGGAAATGCCTATTTATTTATATATATGCACATAATCATAATGCCTCATCTATGGATTGACACAAACTTTAAATATAATGTGTGTCTTCATCTGATGATGCATTATACCTATCAATGTAGATAGGCCGGTACATCATCTACAGACCTTCAAGGTCTGACAGGTTCTGCTTATGGTAACCGAAGTAATGATTTACTTAACTGGTTTAATGAACTTAATGAGCTCAGAAATATTAATCTTCTTTTTTTGAAGTTAGAATTTCACAATAATTAATGAATATTTAACTACTTTTAAGATCAAAAAAGAAATATATACCGTTGAATATGAGGTCATGGTTTAGGTTAAACCTGAAGAGACTCTGGTTGAATTAAGAGATTAGAGAAGTTATAAAATTGTACCCTATTTAAAACTTTTCTGTTATGGCGAAATAAGACTTGTGCGAAACGAAAACCAACAGCATCGATAATAAAATCCTACTCTATACCCAAAATGAGCTGTATTTCTGTATTTTTCAAGCTTTTTTCAAATTTTTCAAAGGAAGCTAATTTTTTTTTGTTTGAAATAAACGTTTTCATAAAGACCCCAAATTCGAAACTGACGTCTACGGCCATATCCAGCATAAAGCATGATTACCCGTCCGATCAATAATTATTAAGCTGCTGAGAGCGATGCTGAGTACGTTAGTGGGAGACCATAATGGAAACCATCGTGCTGTAGACTCTTCTTTTTTTTGCAGATTTAAAGCATTTCATTTGTGTGGAGGAAAGTCATTGAACTTGTGTATACTAGCTGCTGAACTTAAGTATTCCCACTGTAAAATCGTATGTTCATAAGATTAAAGGGGTCAGCTCAACTATAAGCGATGCAAAATAATACCAGCGAATTGGAAGACTGGGTTTTCCACTGCTATATGTTCAGCTAAGGTAAATGCAATACTGCAAAGAAGATACTATCAAAGTGACTTTCAATGAACTCACTCAAATTTACCTGACCTTGACATTTGAATATTTTTGCAATATAATTAAGAAACATCCGAGAAGGATAATTAACTGGCTTAAAAACAATAGGCTGAAACTAGCAGAGAAATTGACCTCAAATATATAGAAAATTGGTTTTATTGAACATCAGAGCCTTTGTTCTTACTCATGTGCTTATAAATTGCTAGAAGGAATGGTTATTACAAAGATAAATAGGTTTACAAAAGTTGACTTAATGATTTTAATTGGAAAAAGAATCAGTTGGTCGTTAAGAATAATTATTTTTTGAACAGGGATATTTGCAGCCATTCTCAGTCGAATTCTATCATGGTAATGGTCGTTTTTTACACATTGGAACTAGCTTTGATTTAAGAATAAAGAATAAACAAGGAAAAGCATAGGCTGAAATGGTGAATGTAAAAAATTACTGAGGGGCTTGGAAGGTTATCGTATAGACCCGGTGAAAAGATTCATGCCGTACCGGATGGAGGGATGAGGTTGTATGAGTTAAACGGAATGAGATGAACTTAAAAAGCGGGCGATATTTTGAAGGGGAGAGAAAGAACTATTGGTGTGAATATTGTTTGTTTAACTACTTACTACACGAAGATGTGATTTCAAATTCGAATATACATTGGTTGGGATAGCAAAGGAGAGTTTCTTCGGCGATTAGAATCATTGTAATAGTTGCAATAATTCATCATAACTTTATGATTTTGTTTATTGGGAGCAAATTTTAGTTGCTGCATAATTTAAGATCAAATTTTAGTTGCTGCATTACGAGCAGTTATTAGCAGTTAACTTAGCGCATTAGTCGGTTTATTGTCTAGTCATATGATATCAGAATACGTAACCGTACAGAAGCATGTCTCCTAGAAAATTTCAATCACTCCTATTTCACAATAGAAAGAGCACATTTTCGGTTCCTTTTAATCCATTTTACTCATACGCTAGTTTAAATGGCGAGGTTTTGATATTTCATCTATTATAATGCGTACCTTCCAAAACCTCGACATACCAGTGCCTGTCAAAGACAAATAGAAAGCAATATGCTAAAGAATATACAAATCTTTATGCACTCCAGAACTTCAGAGCGAGAGACTTATAAGACAAAAAGGAAATGAATTGTGTGAAACAAAGATTACGAACCAAGCTTTGAGAAACTTGTTAATTCATACATTTAGAGCAAAAATAAGAACAATTTGCAACCGATAAAAGTCTACTTGCTGCGTCTAAGTACCAGTGTTTTGCAAAGCAACAGGTGGTACCTATTGAGATGCTTGACTGGTTGTTTGGATAGGGGAATAATGATTTACATTTTAGGCGACATGAGTGGAATTCCGGTTGGATTTGATCAGAGAAATCCAATGATTGAATCCTCCGACCGAGAATGGGCCCGGGACCTTGCATTCTGAGAAGGAGGCAGGAGAAACTCAATGACTTTTTGGCTTTTTTTTTTAACTGGTTGCAAAAGTCGGATCTGGTAATTTTTTTCTCTTTTCCTGGTTTTTTTTATACGTCGGCCGGGCAAACCGAGGCGCATCCACCCTCGGAATTACCGATGCGGTGGCTCAATTGGTAGAGCTTTGGACTCCAAATCCAAAGGTTGCAGGTTCAAGTCCTGTCCGTGTCATGTGACCAATTTTTTTTTTTCGAATTTTTTCACTGCTTAACTCCATAACCATGTCTGAGACATTTTTAAGAGAGCTACTTCCGGCTTTCCATGGTTAATCGAGACAATGATAACTGCAATGAGAAAAGGGCCTGAAGAAAGGGCTGGATAATGGCCTGAGTAGTGGGTAAAAGAAAGCTTAAGAGCAAGTAATTAAGTGAGTAGGTAAATGGCAAGTACATCGGCCCAACGAAGAGCCGAGCGGTTGGAAAGAATATATATTAATAGAAATTAGAATTAAAATAAATAACATTAGCAACGTGAAAGAAACAAGACAAAACAGAATTATTGATTTAAGAAAGGGTTATTAATTAAACTATCGACATTAGAAGAGTCATTTAAATGATCAATTTCTAATTTAAAAGCATTTGAAGGTAATAAATCATCATCTTGAAAAATTGAATCACCATTAATTAGGGTATTTGAATCATTTGATAATAATAAATCTGATTCAAAAGACTGGGATTTTAATAAAGGAGGTTGATAAAAATTTGTAGTTGAATCTTTAAATAAAGAAGAATCATGAGAAATCAGATGGGATCTTGAATGAGAAATTGGTTTATGTATATGGCCATTATTTTTAAATTTAGTATGAGATGTAGAAGCCGTTCTTTTCAAAGTATTTGAATTTGTAGGAGTTAAAGTTATTGGACTATCTAAGTCATAATTTTCAACTTTATTTGTTAATGAAGTCATTGAAGAATTTGAATTTGAATCAAAATTATTTAAAAATAAACTATTTGATTTTTTAACTTCTAAATCATCTGATAATGAATCATTATTTATTGAATTGGCTGATGTTGGTGGACTAGTTAAATTTTCTTCGGCCAAGTTTTGTTTATGATTAGCAAATTGTCTTGTTGAATAATTTATATTCTTTTGATTATCCATACTTAATTTACTAGCAATGATAGCTCCATTTTCCCATTCAACCGGTAAATTTTTCAATAAATTTTCTTCATTTATTAAATAACTAATAACTTCATTAATTGGAATCGATTCTTGATTCGTTTCATCATTGGGAGATGATATAGAACTATCGGAATCACTCTGGTTATATAATTGTTGATTTTGCTGTTGTTGATATTGTAATACTATATCATTAATAAATGGCAAATTGTCCTTCAGTAACCAAATTAATTTTTCCAAAGATTTGGTTAATAAATTTAATCGGGTTTCTAATAACTCAACGTATCCTGGTGGATGGGGTTTTTCTTTATTCTTACGTTTTTCAGTGAACACACATATCTTATTATCTGATATACAACGGGAGCATGGTTTATTACCATTACATTTGGTTTTTTTAATTCGACACGAATCACAAGCTTTACCAACCCTCTTTTTCTTGGTATGGTGATGATGGTGATCTTCAAAGTTCATTATATCTGAATACGTTGCCTTGACCTAAATGTTGGGGATGTCCTGATCCATTTATATATATATAAGGTAAAGAAAAAGAAAAGCAAAAAAAAAAAAAAAAAAATAATAAAATAAAAAGCTTAAAAAACTAAAATAAACTAAATTAATTTTAATGTAATATTTGTAATAAGCAAACTAACGTGCAAAAAAGCCCCAAATTGAGCAGAGTTCTAGATCCTACTACAACCACCATATTCAATCATACGAGATGACCTTTGGTCTCGATATCATTGAAGCTACATAAAGTTTCAACAGTTGCGTTATTTTATCAACAGGTCAATTGTGCTAGTCCAGAGAGAATCCCATCAAGACAACAAACCACAGCTTACTTCCGGTGCATCACCCGAAGTCTCTCCCACCAGCAAACGGTCTCGGATATAAATAATTGGGAGAAGAAATTGCAACCTGCCAAAAAGTGAGGTTCGGCTACGAATGAGGGATAATTTTGACCCGAACCTCATTTTTCTTCTGTTCTTTTCTTTTTTTTTGCAGATTAAGGGTCTGTTTGCGGTTAATGTACGGAGGGGCTGCTCGGGCTTTCGGTGTTTATTAGGTAAGCGATGCCCGGCCGTCGGCTCTACCGCGCACGTGACTCTCGCTACCACCTTCTGTTACTCACTTTTACTACTATTACTGCTTCCTGTCGCTTTGCTATTAATACTTACATTACTACTTACATTACTACTTACTATCACTTGTTGAGGTGAAACTGCGCTATTCGGACTTGGTGTTTTTCTGGAGTTACCTTGTTGTGTTTGGAGTTACCTAGGTGTCTTTGGAGTTACCTTGGAGTCTTTGGGCCTGGAGCTACCCTGGAGTCTTTTCGGGGATGGAGCTGCCCTGGAGTCTTTCTAGCAGCGGAATTTCCTACGAAAGGCTACACCAACGGAATTTGACTTCAGCTCGTATCCTGAAGTGGATGTGGCAGCCACTTCATGTCAAATTCGCCAAGAACCCTTGCTATCGCTTATTTTTGTTTCCAATTATATCATTCTTTTGAAATGAAAAATCGTATATCCGGGACAATTTCACCATTTCCAGTTGTTTACCCCAACGTTACTTCTTCTTTTGTTGCTTTTCCAGTTCTTCCATTCGTAATTATTGATTTGTAACCCAGCTATTGGTATGGATTTCCTCTGGTGTAACCCTCTTGTAGTGTGATCAGGATTGCGTAGTCTAGTTTTGCAACAAACCTATGTCATTTGCATAAAAAATTCTCGCTTTAGCTGGGGACATTGCATGAAGCAAAGCACTTGCAACTCGAAGTACCGAAATACCCCAGCTCGTCTGGTTAGTTGCAAAAATTCAAAAAAGGTAGTATGCGCACCGTATTAACAATATTTCTATCGATAGTGGGAATTCTTAATCTTCGTATGGGTCAATTATATCGTTCAGCTTCAATGGTAAAAGTTCTCATATTGAAATTTGGTGGTGGTATTGTAAGCACTTCTTGTATATCACCTTCCATAAGAGCGTCAAGTTAGCCAGATGACTGCGAGATAGCCAATACTACATTCGTATTAAGAGTAACATAACAAGCCCCACTGTAGATATCAAGCAAGAAATAATCTGATTTTTAACTTGTGAAGACGGTTTTGAAATTCTCGATTCTGATGCTTTTATCGTGAAACATAACCTTTTCAAGAGAGTCTTGGGTTTCCTTAGGGTAATCAGAACAAGAAGCGGTCGACGAGCTAGCCTGCTCATGGAGCTGGTCATAAGCCTTCCTAATGGTTTCAAGATTTTGATCACTAAGTCCAGTGAGCTGAGCAATAGAATTTTTGTATGTCATTATGATTTCAAGCTTGTCATCGAAAAGATAAATAAACTGAGTATCATTTCCAGTGTGTATCTCCACTTCTTTCTTAATTTGTTGTCTAATTTGATCGACATATTTTTGGGTGATTTTAGCAGCTTCTCCTTTATTAACTTTAATAACTTCGTTCTTTGGCAAACAGTTTACTAATTTGTTTGGTATGAGCAATACATTCATCCTCCAATTGTAGGTGTCTTTCGTTAACTTCACCTTTGATCGTTTCCCATTCAGGTTTATTCACTGGTTTGTTATCACGAAATATTCCAAGAAGGTCTCTCACGATAACTAAATGATTATCATAATAACCGGAGCGAATATTTTGATATTGGTTACTCTGTTGAGTAAGAATTTTTTCAATCTTCAGTAACGATTCGGCATTTGCAAATACTTCTCCTTTTTCTTCAGAGATGATGTTACGAAGAAGAACCAAACGGTCTTGAGTGGTCGCATTAACTGCATTAGCAAAATTATCGGGTTCCTTTAGGTTCAAAAATTGCTCATTGAATACGTCAAGTTGAGAAATCACCATTTCAATGGCACCTTCATGCATCTCTTTAGTCTTATTTAAGGTGTCTTTCAAAAAGATTGAATGTTTGCGGAGTCTTTGGATTTTAACTTCAGCACTTACAGAGGGATCGTTTATAGATTTGAGGGATTCACTAACGACTTGATTGTGGTTTTCCATAGTATCACCAGCAAGCACCGAGTCCATTGGTTTGTTAATTTTATCACTAACAAACAAGTTATCACCCAATGTATCGTGGCCGGATGTAAGGTCATTATTTGACTTGTTATTTTCATTATATACATCTTTTACCGTAGAAGATGACTCGGCAGATTCTTGAATTGGCTTAGGACCAGTAGTCGAAGAATTTGCCTGCTTTTGGAGTCGGTCAAGCTCTACTTGTAACAGCCTCCTGGATTCATGAAAATAATTATATAGAGCCTCGAAGAGATGTGAAAATTTAAGGATGATCCCCTTGTTTTCCGACTGGCTATAACAAAGAGTAATGAACTTAGAAGAATAGTCAACCAAGCCGTCTAATTCTGTCTTAACTTTCTCGACATATTTTCGGGAGATCTTAGTAATTTCTTCTTTATTAAGTTCAGATATGTTTGCAAAATCCTTAACAGACAGGTTGCTAAGTTCTTTTATATGTTTAGTACATTCATCTTCTAATTGGAGTTGTTTTTCTTTAATTTCAACTAGGAAATTTCCCCATTGTATTAAGTCCACTGTTTCGCCAACACGATTAAATTCAGCAAGCTTTCCCATAATAATCAAAAAAATCTCTTCACAACCAGAGCGAATATTTTCATATTGCATACCATGAGAACTAAGAGTTCTCATGATTCCCCAAGCCAACTTGAGATCGACAAAGGCGTATCCTTTTTCTTCAGAGATAATTTTACGAAGAAAAGCCAAACGAGCTTCAGAGGTTTTTCTCATAAGTCAAAATAGCGGGATCTTTCCTCTCGATAATCTCTTTACGGATTGGGTCAAGTCCAGAACCCAAGTTTTCTGTGGTATTTTCAAGTTTTTCTCTTAATTCAGTTAAGATGGATTGCAAATTGGTTTCCTCTGATTGGATTTGTTCGATTATAACCTTAAGACTTTCTGGATCTTCTTTTTCAATGGCTTCAAGGGATTCTAGTATAATTTGAGCAATGGTATAGCAGAGTTGGTCATGGTAATCACGGAGTTGATGTTCTTCAACATTTGATG